GCAATATGGTTCATGGGGTCACGAAGAGTCGGACACGACTTAACGACTAAACAACAAAAAGTCTAATCAATATAAGAAATGCCAGTGTAACCATAATATAAACCTATATTGAATAATAAAGTTCTTCCAGCTTCACAAAGATCCCATGAAAAGAACCATATTAAGGCCCTTTCTAAACTTCAAGAGATTGAATTCCAGATACAATTCAAGGGGAAGTTTTTTCTTCCAGAGGGTGGGAGTTGGAGGAAAAACTAATCAATCTTGACTATATGGTCCAGCTAAGCAAGTACATGGGAACATGAATTATAATCATCTTATTCATATAATTTGATATTAAAACAAAAGAAGTGCCCTGCTGGATCAGACCTGCGGCCCATCTAGTCCAGCAGTCTCTTCTCACACTGGCCAACCAACTGCATGAGGAAGCCCACTAGCCTCCCAGTAGAGGGCCTTCAGAAGCAGTCCTTGATTCCCATGACTTCCATGAATTGTTCCAACCCTTTTTTGAAGCTAGCCAAGCTGGTAGCCAGCATCACATCATGTGGTAGCAAATTCCAAAGTTGAATGATCTGAGGTGTAAAAAACTATTCTTGTTTATGCAGTCCAGAAGATCAGAACTAACAATTTCAACACTTCAGATACCCAGCCAATGCAGGAATTGGCAAAAAGAAGACAGAGGGTGAATCAGGAGAGGTCTAAACCACACAGACCCCTCCAAGATATGACTAAGCTGCTTAGCTATTTGAAGGAACATATGAACTTTTTAGATATTCAGAAAGTAAAAAAGTAAAAAAAAAAGTTTTATTTATTCATATATGGAATTTATACAGCTCCCCAATTTGAACAGTTGTGACTCTGAGCAGCATAAAACCAATCAACAACAAAAAACAATAAAGCTAAAAACAGCAATAATTAATAGGTGATCAGAACCCAGATTTCTATTGTACCCCTCCAGACAGGAACTTGAATGAACTTGGTCCCAAAGCCCAAGGAAAGTTCTTGTACTTTTATCAAAGAAAAGCTTTAAAGAAAGTTTCTCATTGATAAGAAGTCACAAATCACATACAACAGAAGAGGCCTGCAAGTAACAGTCCTGAAAAATGAAGAAACAAAGGAAGATGAAAAAGGACAACTAGAATGAAAAACAATAAGTATGGACTTGTTCAAATTTAATTTAAGGCAGTGGGAGCTCAGCCAACTGGAGACCCCGCTAAAGCAGTTAGAAAGGGAAAGCTACACCACATCATCAAGAATAAAATTGGGTATCTTTGGCATAGATATAATATGCTGAAAAGAAGGTATCATGGAACCTTACAATAATATGAACAGGAATGGACCTAAAAACAGACTTTGAGGAACACCATGGATAAATGGAAGGACTGAGAACAAAGACCATTCCACTTAACTTAAATTATGTGATGGGAAATAAATATGAAAGCAATGTCAAATTGTATCATCTATGCCTAAATAAACTCAGAAAAGATAATAAATCTTGTGATCAGGAGTGTCAAATGCTGCCCAGAAATCCAGCAATGTCAATATTGATGGTTGATCATTGACAATGTAAGCTAGTCAATTTTGACTGATATGCTCTCAGTGAAATTATTTCCTGGCAAAAATGGAAGGAACTGGATGAGAACAACTTGTTCTAGGAATGGACCAAAATGAAAAGGAAGACATGGATGAAAACCAGAACAAACTAAAGAATCCAAACAAGGTTTTTTTTTTTTTTTAAGAAAGTGAAGACAAGCATGTTTTAGAGAACCTGGGAAAATATCTGCCATTAAAGAACAGTTAACCAACCTAGCTAAGAATGCCATAAAAGAAGGAAGAACAGATGTGTAAAGGAAAGGAAGAAGAAGATCTGAAAGACATGTTGTATAGAGAGCTTCTAAGATCATTTTAGCTCCCAGTTCTTCAGTAACTAGAGATAATGAAACATTTTAACTCCCACTTCTTCAGTAACTAGAGATAATGAAAAACTGGAAGAACTTAGATTAATGGGAATAGCACATGAAGCCTGCATAGGAAAAGAAGCCTGGAGCATTTCAGTGTTGGCCAAAGAATACATTTCAAAATCAGCAGCAGCCTGTGACAAAGATGAAGGTAAAAGAGACTGGAACATATCAACATGCTGTCTAGGGGACTTAGCCTGAGCAGAAAATAAGTTATGAAAATAACATTGCTTGCTTGCTCCAGCATTGCAAGAAATCAGTAGGGCTTTGTGAAAGGAATCCCTATTATTAGTTGATTTTTTCCCCCATAATTAATAATAGTGTACTATCTGCAGCCAGAAAAGATTCAGACAGACATTAAAATACAGCTATATTCAGAAATGCACAGAACTGAGGGCTGATGTCAGAACTCAAGAAAGCCATAACTGCAATCCCTTACAATATTATTTGACAGAAGTTAGAAAATTTGAGAGAAGCGTTGCTTTCAAGCTCTCACCTGTCCAACTTGATTCCATCTGCATCCATGATGTTGTGTAAAATTTGTTCCACTGGAACCTCTCCAGCATAGCCAGCACCCCAGCCCAGGGTGTTTGATAGGTCATTACCTGTGCCCAGGGGTAAAATTGCAACCCGAGGGATATACTTTTCTTGTCCCTGTGATACAGAAGCATTAATTCAGGGTTAGGATTCGTGATTTTGCATGGGTGGCTGCTTAACAAGTTTGAATCTGAAATTTCAGAGAGTGCTTAAACACCATTAATTACAATTCTGCTTCAAGGATTCTTCCTTAACAGCATCACTGGGAATCTAAGGAAAACAACTGGAAAACTATACACTAATGATATAAAGGAAATACTTACTATTTTACTTGGCCAGCAAAAACAGACTAACTTATATTTATTCACAGATAGACAGACAGACAGCAGGGGATTTTGGGAATGAAAGACAGGCCTCTCTAAGGAGACTGGGACCCACCTAACAAAGCCTGGCCAGGCTTCAGCCTAAGGAGCAACTGAAAAAAATTCCTATCACTATATGATTAGAAGCAACCTCTTTGCATTCATATCTGGGTTAGGGACAAGGGTTTTCAGGGTTGAACATATCACTTGGAGGAAAAAAAAAAGCATGCCACAGTCTCCATTCTAATTTTCAGGAAATTAGCAAACTTTTCTGGTCCAACATTTTCAAGAAAAAGTATGACACAGAAAAGGGGACACAACATCCTTTAGAAAAAGCATGTTTCAAAACATAACAACTTATGAGATATACTTCCAGTGATTCAGGAAG